ATTAAATCACTCCGCTAGCAAGCTCCTCCCACATGTATCAATCTCTGGGAGGCTCGAATCTAACCAAAAATAACATAATACTATAAATAAAAGCTATAGGAATTGATTCTAAATGATAAAGCTAAGATCTTTAACCAAAATCAAAAGGTCAACCTCGGGCCCATGCCTAGGAACCCGACAAGATTTACAAAATCCGAACACTCATTCAGTAACGAGTCCAACCATACCAAAATCATCCAATTTCGATGATAAATCGAACATCAAATCCCTAAATTTTACTCTCCAATACATGGGTCAAAAGTCCCCAAATTCTAACTTACATTCATGATAAATAGGTAAAATAATTAATGGGTATTCAATATTCATGGACAAAGGTAATTAAAAATCACTTACCTCTTCAATCTAGATGAAAACCTCTCTAACTTAGAAGAACTCAAACCCTCGATTTTAAATCTTCTCCCAGCCTTTTTGCTCTTGCGGTCTCACCAGCCGCACCTGCGGCTTCGCTTCTGTAGAAAAAAGCCCGCTTCTGTGGAGATCACTTAAACACCAGACCAGGCGCACCTGCGGGACCGCTTCTGCGGTCCAGACTTCGCTCCTGCACATCCGCACCTGCGGTGCCAATTTGCTCTTGCGACTCTAGCCTCTCTTACCAAAATTTGCTTTTGCAGCCAACATCCTCGCACTTGCGGGCTCGTAGAAGCGGAAAGTGCCTCGCATCTATGGCCTTTTCCAAACCTGCCAAACTCCGCACCTGCGACGAGCATCTCGCTTCTGCAACTTTGCACCTGCAACCCATATCTCGCAGGTGAGAAAACACCATGCATCAAAAAATCTTAGCCAAGGTCTTAAGTCCAAAACAACTTCGAAATCACTCTGAATCTCACCCGAGCCCCCCACGACGCCATCCAAACATACCAACACATTCTAAAACACGATACAAACTTAGTCGAAGCCTTAAATCACATCAAACAACATCAAAAACATGAATCGCCCTCAATTCAAGCCTATTGAAACTAATGAATTTTCAACTTCTACAATTGATATCGAAACCTATCAAACCAATTCTGATTGACCTCAAATTTTGCACACAAGTCATAAATGACACAACGGACCTATTCCAACTTCCAGAACCAAAATCCAAGCTCGGTATCAATAAAGTCAACTCTCGGTCAAACTTCTCAACTTTCCAACTTTCACCAATTCGAGCCAAACAACTTACGGACCTCCAAATCAATATTTGGACACACTACTGAGTCCAAAATCACCATATAGAGCTATCAGAACCATCAAAACTCTATTCCGAAGTCATTTACCCATAAGTTTACACCCGATCAACTGTTACAACTTAAACTTCCAACTTTGGGACTAAGTGTCCCAATTTATTCCGAAATATTTTCAAAACTAAAACAACCACCTCGACAAGTCACATAACAACAAACGAACATAGAATAAGCAATAAATAGGAAAATATGGCTACAATACTCAAAATGACCGGTCGAATTGTTACATCACCTATCCCAGTATAGACAAAAAAAATAAATCGTACGTAATATTTATATTAAATCAATGAAGACAAAATATATGTCTTTTATACATGCATTTGTCACTTAACCATGATTAAGATAAGTATAAATTCTCATTTAGTTTATAACTGTTAATGTTAAATTGCTTAATTTGATATAAGTGCTGGGTACAAATAAGTACCTCAGCTGATGTATATAATGGTGCGAGAGAGAGAGAGAGAGAGAGAGAGAGAGAGAGAGAGAGAG